GAATTCTTTTAAATGGTAATCAATTACTGATTACAAATTACGTGACAAAATTGGTTGGTAATATAATCTGTTGGATTACTCATCTGTGGTCATGTAATCGGACTACTTTTGGATTACATTTACATTACTTTTGAACTGTAATCAATTACTGATTACAAATTACATGACCAAACTAGTCGGTAATATAATCTCTTAGATTACACATTTGTGATAATGTAATCTGACTACTTTTGGATTACATTTTGATTACTTTTGAACTGTAATCAATTACTGATTACAAATTACATGACAAAATTAGTAATATAATCTGTTAGATAACACATTTATGGTAATGTAATCTCATTACTTATGGATTACATTTAGATTACTTTAAATTATATTCAGTTACTGATTCCAAATTACATGACAAGTTTAGTAGTCAGAAATATAATCTTAATAAAATAATTTAAAGTAATGCAATCTACAAAAAATATAAAATACTTTTGTGCTAACCTTTATTTGATGTCACATATTGAATAAAATATATATAAAATATCATAATATATAAAATATCTCTGTTTTTATTTACATTGATCTGGCCATGAAATATCCAGGATTTGGCAATAAATGACCAAACTGAAAGCCTGTGGTGTGTTTCTGCAGGAGTGATCGATGACCGAGGGAAGTTTATTTTCATCACGCCGGAGGAGCTGAACGCTGTGGCTCAGTTCATTAAGCAGAGAGGAAGAGTTTCCATCTCTGAACTCGCGCAAGCCAGCAACACACTCATAAACCTCACGCCGGACATACACAGCAGCGCATGACCTACACCGCTATTCACCACAGTAAACTCTTCTGACAAGGACTTGTAAATAAAGTGCGTTGTACTATGGGTCTGCTTGATTCCGATTGGCTGATGGTCACTCTAAGGTGTTTGGTTATTGTTATATAAATGCACAGTTAAAGTAGTTCCAGCAGGTTTTGAGCAGCTCCATATCACTCCACTATGCTGGAATAGTTGGCGGTTCATTCCGCTGTGGTGACCCTTGAAGAATAAAGGGACTAAGCCAAAGGACAATTATTATATGAAATAAATATACATTTTTAGATTCCATCCAAACTAATAGAAATCAGACTCTCTTTGTCCTCGCTCTGCTAAACAGCACTTTGGAAATATTTAAAAATAATAAAATAACTATTAATTATAATTAATATAATTATGAGGATTCATAATTTTGTCTTCAGTCGTTTTTATGCACAACAAACAGCAATAAAAGTCTTGCATATTTATTGGTCAGACACTGAAGAAATCAAAACATCTGGTTTCTTTTTAATTGTGATATGCTGTCAAATAAAAAGACAAACGGCTCAATAAACTACTGCTGGATTTATTGTAATGAAAGTTGAAACCGTTTTATGGTTTACTTTCCATTTACACATGTTTCCCTCAACTAGTTGGTCATCTTTATTACAGTTCTCCAGAGAAACGGACAGCTTGTGTATGGAAAACATGTTTATTTCGGGGCAGGACTGATAATTGTTTGCTTGTGACACTCATTTCTGGATTTCCCTGAAGTGCAGTTTTGTTGTATCTGCATATACAGCCAGAGAATACATTAGAATGAATAAATACATGCAAATATTAAGATGTATTTAAACCGCATGCTCAATCTATAAAATTATAAAATGATGGACAAATAAAAACATTATACAGTCATAGTTTTATTTTCCTTTTTTTATTTTTTTTTACTAAACAACATCAAATATACAATTTAAACATGACATCCAAAAAATACAAATGTAAATAATAACATAAAATACATTACAAACATTAAATAAATAAAGAGACAATTCAATATAGAGATCTTTACAATGATATTATTATTAACCTATTTAACTGACAACAAGCTTTCTAGTCAATAACTTCAGCTCCTTTGCCACTATAATTGTATTTTGACATTTTTCGCTATTAATATATTGAAGTGATTCTATATACAGTTGAAGTCAGAGTTATTAGCTCCCCTGAATTATTAGCCCTCGTTTATTTCTGCTTCACGAAGAGAAGATTTTCTCAACATATTTCTAATCATAATAGTGTTAATAACTCATCTCTAATAACTGATTTATTTTATCTTGAACATGAAAACAGTAACTAATATTTTTCTAGATATTTTTCAAGACACTTCTATACAGCTTAAAGTGACATTTAAAGGCTTCACTAGGTTAATAAGGTGAACTAGGCAGGTTAGGGTAATTAGGCAAGTTATTGTATGATGATGGTTTGTTCTGTAGACAGTCGGGGGGGGGAAAATATCTTAAAGGGGCTAATAATTTTGACCTAAAAATGGTTCATAAAAAATTAAAAACTGCTTCTATTCTAACCAAAATAAAACAAATAAGACTTTCTCCAGAAGAAAAAATATTATCAGACATACTGTGAAAATTTCCTTGCTCTGGTAAACATCATTTGGAAAATATTTTAAAAAGAAGAAAAAAATCAAAGGGGGGCGAATAATTCTGACTTCAACTGTACAAATGAAAATCTATAATAGCAACCTTTAAACAAGGTTTAGAGTTATTTAATCTGCATTTATGAACATGAAATTTACCAAATAAAATTAAAAGATTCAGTATAAATTCCACGGATAAATTGTTTGATGCAAAATAAAAAATAACATCTTTGGGGGTCAAATTACAACTAGAACTAGATTTTTTTTTTTTGACATACAATGATAGATTTTCCCAAAGAGTTATTAAATATTCACATTCATAAAAAAGATGAATTAAAGACTCTGGGTGATGTAAACGGAATGAACAGTTTCCATCAGTCTGCGCAAATTTAGTTACACAACATAAATGTTGTGTAACATTTTTAAATGTAGTTCCCTGTGTTTATTACCTATGCTGAAATGAAAAGGAGTCAACCAAGCTTTTTTCCACACAATATCTTGGAAATATTTCAAAAGAATTTTCCTCTAGGTTTTTAAAAAAATATTAATCTAATAACCTTGTTTGTACATTTTTTACTACAAAAGTCTACCCCATTTAAGTTACGTGCAGGATCTATTCTATTAGTATTATACAGTCATAGCTGAAAGTTGAAAGCCGGTTTAGATGTGATCGTTAATAGACAAATAAAACCAACTTCGATAAATACACAACTCAAAATACATAACTTGCTCTGTTAACTCTGTTGTAGTAATTTCTAGGTTAATATTTATTAACATAAATGTGTTTTTAATGTTTAGTTTCCAATTTTTATTTCTTTATTCCTTATAAGTGCGGTCATTTTACAATAAAGAAAAAGTAGGACTGACGAAAGCATCCATTCCTGGTCATTATTATTTTATTATGATAATAATAATTATTATTATTATTATTTAACCACTAGCAGTGTATTTGCACAAAACTAAATTATGTCCTGTAGGATTTAAGTGTTTTCATATATACAGTTGCGGTCAGAAGTATTAGCCCCCCTTTGAATTTGTTTTTCTTTTTTAAATATTTTCCAAATTACGTTTAACAGAGCAAGGAAATTTTCACAGTATGTCTGATAATATTTTTTCTTCAGGAGAAAGTCTTATTTGTTTTGTTTCGGCTAGAATAAAAGCAGTTTTTAATTTTTTAAACACCATTTTAAGGTCAATATTATTAGCCACTTTAAGCTATATATTTTTTGATAGTCTATAGAACATACCATCGTTATACAATAACTTACACTAACCTGCCTAATTACCCTAATTAACCTAGTTAAGTCTTTAAATGTCACTTTAAGCTGTATAAAAGTGTCATGAAGAATATCTAGTCTAATATTATTTACTGTCATCATGAGAAAGATAAAATAAATCAGTTATTAGAGATGAGTTATTAACACTATTATGATTAGTAATGTGTTGAAGGAAATATTCAATATTATTTCTAAGTACGATTTAATATTTATATTAACATTTAGAGATTATTTTCCATGGTCCATTGTGAGTCTGTAAACATAAGCGTCTGTGTGTCATTTGATAGTCGAGGCTTTAGAGGGCGCTGTGTTTATATGAGCAGGGCTGCGCATGCGCGGTGTGCTTTGTGTACTTTCCTATTGCTTGGGTTCATCCGAGCTCAGTTTATTCCGCATTTTAAACGGCAGAGATGAGCTTTTACTTACTGTAGATTCAATAAACGTCGAGCGTGTTTTACATGCGGGCAGACTGACCGTCTTTATTCTGCTCCAGGATGACACGAGCAGATTATCGACGCTTTGTTCAGCGCGGAGAATGTCTGAATGTATGATCGAGTGTCAAATAACATCGCTCATAAGCTGCGGATGACTCTTCGACTGTACAGGTGAGAAACGTCTTTTTCATCCAGTGACGTCACCCTGAACTCCGACTGGACGTGTTGTTATTTACCTTTTAATACAGTCTGTGGTGTTTACAGACCTTGTTTGTTTTGTATTTAAAGCTTGTTTATGTTTTGTCGTTCTCAAATGATTATAAGTAATACTTTTAATAATTAGACACTCAAGTTACAGCGAGTTGTCACATGGTCTGTATGTAAGGTCAGATTGTCACGTGTGTTTCATGCTTATTTTAATGACATTTTTCATCATTTGTATTTAAAAACCACAACGTATATGTAAATGAAATGTATATATGTAAAGTGCAATGTTTTTGAAGCTTATTTAAGATTTGTCAGCCCTACATATAAATACTATAGCAATTAAATGTATAATTAAATGTATAACATATTACTTTAGTTGTTGTGTTACCATAGCAACTGTAGAATCACCACAGCATATCAATTACTGTAAATGTGTTACCATAGCAACTACAGAATCACAACAACTTATCAATAACTGTATTTGTGTTACCATAGCAACTACAGAATCACAACAACTTATCAATTACTGTATTTGTGTTACCATAGCAACTGTAGAATCACAACATATCAATTACTGTATATGTGTTACCATAGCAACTGTAGAATACCACAACAGATCAATTGCTGTAGTTGTGTTACCATAGCAACTGTATAATCATCACAACATAGCATTTGCTGTATTTGTGTTACCATAGCAACTGTATAATCATCACAACATAGCAATTGCTGTATTTGTGTTACCATAGCAACTGTAGAATCACAACAACATATCAATTACTGTATTTGTGTTACCATAGCAACTGTAGAATCACCACAACATATCAATTAATGTATTTGTGTTACCATGGCATCTACAGAATTAACACCAACATATCAATTACTTTAGTTGTGTTACCATAGCAACTGTAGAATCACCACAACATATCAATTGCTGTACTTGTGTTTCCATAGCAACTGGGGAATCATCACAACATATCAATTACTGTATTTGTGTTACCATAGCAACTACAGAATCACCACAACAGATCAATTGCTGTAGTTGTTGTTACTATAGCAACTGTAGAATAATCACAACATAGCAATTACTGTAGTTGTGTTACTATAGCAACTGTAGAATCACCACAATATTTATATTACTGTAGTTGTTGTGTTACTATAGCAACTGTAGATTCACCACAACAGATCGATTTCTATAGTTGCTCTGTTACTATTGCAACTGTAGAATTCCCGCAACAGATCAGTTACTATAGTTGTTGTGTTACCATAGCAACCATAGAATTATCATAGCCAATCAAATACTATAATTGCTCTGTTACCATAGCAACTCTAGAATCACCATAACAGATCAATTACTATAGTTTTTGTTACCATAGCAGCTGTAGAATTCCCGCAGTGGATCAGTTACTATAGCTTTTGCGTTACCATAGCAACTATAGAATCACCACAACAGGTCAGTTATTATAGTTGTTATGTTACCATAGCAACTGTAGAATCACCACAACAATCCAATTACTTTACTGTAGTGTGGGTCAAAAACACATGCTACTATAGTGTTTTTTAATGTTGGCCTGTTTAGATGTGTTGTGTGTGACAGTCATAGGTCTGGATTGTAAAATCACTGTTGTATCATTTCTTTGTTCCAGAATTACTGTGTTTATGAGCAACCCTAAAAGCTGAAAGTGTGCAGAAGCAGTGTATAAGGTGAGACATGTATATGACCATATTGGTATATGAAACACATTTCAATATTTAGTTTTTTCTGTGATTATACATTGCTGATGGCTTGAATAACTATTATTTTTTAAAGTTTGGGGTGATTTTGCTAGGGAGTTGTGCATCAGCATGAAATATATGTAAAAATGATATATTATGCAGCTCTAGTGTGTATGTTTGTATTAAACTGAAGGTCTGTTCTCTCTGGTTTGCATGTGTTGTGAGGTCAGCATGACCCTGGCTATGACCCCTGCTGCCGTGTGCCAATGCTTCACTCTGGTGTCGCTCTGCACCTCCATCGCAGACCCCAACTGGATCCAGATCCAGAACCGCACTGATGCAAACAACAAGCTGATGTACGGTGTGGCCTTCACACTGCACGCCTACCAGAACCGCACAGACACAGGTGTGTTTGCTGCATCATTCAGCCTGTTTACACTTCAAGGCACAAAATGTCAGATTTTGTTCTTTATAATATCTAAAACAAACACTAGAATGGTGTTAAATATTTTATATACGCACTTACAATACCTCAAATGTATGTAAGAATGTTCAATTTTAACTAGTAAGTCTATTAGTTAAAGAAGTCTACCCCCGCTACCCACAATAAAAAAGAATTTATAGTAAATACTAGTGTTTTCTAACCTTATACTTTATATATTATAGTATTTAGAACAATTTGTTAAGGAATGCTGCAGCATATTGTAGTATTATCGGTAGTTAACTGATAAATTGTAATAAACACCGTAGTATACTTCAGTTTTACAGCAGTAAACTGGTGTATTGTAGTGTAATATACCCTATAGTTGTTAAAAATGACATAATTGGGTCATTTGTTTATATTACTGAAGTTTTTGTTTGTAGAATCACCACAAGAGATCAATTACTATACTCGTTGTGTTACCATAGCAACAATAGAGTCACCACAACAGATCAGTTACTATAGTTGTTGTGTTACTATAGCAACTGTAGAATCACCACAACATATCAATTACTATAGTTGTTGTGTTACTATAGCAACTGTAGAATCACCACAACGGATCAATTACTATAGCTGTTGTGTTACTATAGCAACTGTAGAATCATCACAACAGATCAATTAGTATAGCTGTTGTGTTACCATTGCAACTATAGAATCACCACAACAGATCACTTACTGTAGTTGTTGTTACCATAGCAACTGTAGAATCACTACAACAGATCTATTACTGTAGTTGTTGTTACCATAGCAACTGTAGAATCACTACAACAGATCTGTTACTGTAGTTGTTGTTACCATAGCAACTGTAGAATCCCCACAACAGATCAGTTAGTATAGCTGTTGTGTTACCATAGCACCTATAGAATCACCACAACAGATCACTTACTGTAGTTGTTGTGTTACCATAGCAACTATAGAATCACCACAACAGATCAAATACTAGTTGTTGTTACCATAGCAACTGTAGAATCCTCACAACAGATCAATTAGTATGGCTGTTGTGTTACCATATCAACTATAGAATCACCACAACAGATCAATTAGTATAGCTGTTGTGTTACCACAGCAACTATAGCCACACCACAACAAATAAGTTACTATAGTTGTTGTTAACATAGCAACTGTAAAATCACCACAACAGATCAATTAGTATAGATTTTGTGTTACCATAGCAACTGTAGAATCACCACAACAGATCAATTGCTAGTTTTGTTACCATAGCAACTATAAAATCACCACAACAGATCAATTGCTAGTTTTTGTTACCATAGCAACCATAAAATCACCACAACAGATCAATTGCTAGTTTTTGTTACCATAGCAACCATAAAATCACCACAACAGATCAATTGCTAGTTTTTGTTACCATAGCAACTATAAAATCACCTCAACAGATCAATTACTGTAGTTGTGTTGCCATAGCAACAGTAGAGTCACCACAACAGATCAATTACTATAGTTTTTATTACCATAGCAACTGTAGAATCACCACAGCAGATCAATTCAAATGCTCCACTACTTTACTTTTAGCGCCACCAGCTGGACAGGAGTGTGTTTTGCCTGTCTGTCCTCACTTATTTTCTGCATTCTTTTCAACTGTGCATGTGCTTCACACTAGAGAGATAGGAAAACACACCGCATTACAAATTATTAGCAAAAACTATTTAATTTAAAGGTTTTTGTCTCTTCTAGAGCATAAATACACCATAATATGTGTGCAGATATTTGAGAATCAAGCTAAGCGTATCTGATAAACAATGCTCCAGTCAGTAATTCTGCTTTGAGAATGTGTGTTCCGTGTCAGAATGTCTGTCTCTGCTTTGATCTCTGTAACTCCGCCCACTGCCAGTTTAACCAGTAATATTTCAGCACCCCGGATTGCCTTGATGATAAACAGTGTATAAACTTCAGTCCTGAAGGCTCTCGGAGTATGCAGACGCAGCTGAAGATGCGCTCTCTGGAGGACAGAAGCAGCCTCTCAAAAGACACATGGCAGATTCAGAGTTATAAAAATACACATGCGGGGGGTTTTAATTAGCAAGAAATGTAAATATCACAAACCTAAACATTAGCTGAGCCACGTACAGGGTAGGACTTAATCATTGAACACACTCTCTCCTGTTTACATTGTCAATCTGGCAACCTGCACTGGAAAAAACTCTCTCCCATGTTTTGAATTTGGACTGCAATACCTAGTTCAACCACTAGTCAATCATACATCATACATGCTGTGTCTTTATGAAGGCTCTGTGTATTGTAATCATGTGAATGCTGTTGCAGGTCCTCTCGGAGGGCTAAATGGATGGGGAATGTGGCTGCTGTATGTGCTGACCGCTCTCTGCTACAGCGCCGTCCTGTTGTCCAGCTCTTCGTTTCTGCTGGATTTCCTCAAAGCTGCGGTCAGTCAATCCAGACTGATTACAACACTGCACGTCTCTACAGGTGCGCTCAATACACCTTCCACAATTAACTACACAATAAACTGTACTTGCTTATTTCCTAGCATACACTTTCTCTCATTTCTTTTTAGCACTGAACTGTGGGGCAGTGGTGGGTGTGTGTGTGGCCTGTGTGTGTGTGATCAAACACAATCTGCAGCGAGGGAAGCACGTCTCGCTGTTAAACCGCACTGAAGGCAGTCCAGAACTCTCCGTGTCTCTTGGAGAAAGTCTTTATATCCAGATCCTGGGCCTGCTTTTCTCTGTACTGGCGTGTGTTTCTGCGCTGCGGCCGCGAGCTCAGCCCATAAGACTGCATGCAGAGGGAGCCGACAGCGATACGGAGCCTCTGATTGGAGGAGCCGAGGAGTAAACAAACAGGTTCATGTATGTTCGATAGCTGTGTTTCCATCCTCTATTTTCATGCACATTTTGGATTATTGCATTAAGAAATTGTTTGATGTAAGGGAGGCGCAGTGGCTCAGTGGTTAGCACTGTGGCCTAACAGCAAGAAGGTTACTGGTTCGAGCCTCGGCTGGGTCAGTTGTCGTTTCTGTGTGGAGTTTGCATGTTCTCCCAGTGTTGATGTGGGTTTTCTGCGGGTTCCCCCACAGTCCAAACACATGCACCATAGGGGAATTGACGATCTAAATTGGTTATTGTGCATGTGTGTGAATGAGTGTGTATGGGTGTTTCCCAGTGATGGGTTGCAGCTGGAAGGACATCCGACTCCTGATAAATAAGGTACCTTCTTGCTGTGAGGCTACAGTGCTAAATACTGACCCACAGTGTTGCCCTATTGTGTTTTCAATTCAAATGAGTTAGGAAATCTCCACTGTAAAAATGCTGGGTTGTTGTAACCCAACACTGGGTCAAATATGGTCAAACCCAACCATTGAATTACAAAAAAGTAACATAAATTAAATTTAAAAAATTAACCCAATGTTGAGTTTGTTAATATTCGACCCAATGTTGTATTAGGACAACCCAGCAGATTTAACAAGATCAGTTCCGGTCAATAACAGAGTAAAAATACATCAATTATTAAACTAAATAAAACTATATTATTAATTGAACTCATTCATTCATCAATCATTTTTTTTTCAGCTCAGTCCCTTTATTAATCTGGGGTCGCCACAGTGGCATGAACCGCCAACTTATCCAGCATATGTTTTACGCAGTGGATGCCCTTCCAACTGCAACCCATCACTGGGAAACACCCATACACTCCCATTCACACACATACACTACGGCCAATTTCGCTTACCCAATTCCCCTATAGCAGTGGTGGGCAAATGTTTTAGACCTGAGGGCCACATCAAGTTTTGCAAACCAGGTGAAGGGCCGCTTGTCAAATTCTTTAAAAAAATAACTTTTATTTATAGTGGCAAAACAGATTATTTTTTATATTATTACATCAAATTTACAAGTCAAATTAATTAGCACTGCTATTTATATTTACTTATCAATCATCAATAAAATAATAAAATAAATAAAATAATCCCTTATAAAATATAAGGTCCCACTTTATATTAAGTGGCCTTAACTAATATGTACTTACACAGGAGTTAATAGTTTGTTACAGTGTACTTATTGTGTAAATACATGTATTTACTGTGTACTTATGTTTGATTAAATACCTGTATGTAATTACATCTGTAATTAACTTTTGTAATTACATTTGTAAATTCACTGTTGACCATCCCTTACACCTCAACCCACCCTTAAACCTACCCATACCACCAAACCTGTCCATAACCCAACCTCTATCCCAACTCAAAAGCACCACAAGTGTTCTCAAATACATTATAAACACAGTAAGCACATTGTATTTATTTTTTGATGTAAGTACATAGTAGTTAAGGACACTTAATATCAAGTGGGACCAAATATAACAATAATAATAAAAGGAAAAGATATTGTCTGTAGAAAAAATCTCATATTAACACATTAAAAATAAATCTTAAAGTTTACTATTCAGTCAAGTTTACTATAATCTAATTTGCACTGCTATTAGAATATACAGATTAATCATAATAAAATAGTCTGGAGTCTGCTATGGCAAAAACGCGAGGCGCAACAGGCGGTTAACACGTGAGGCGCACAGGGCACATAACCAGCACGCAAAACCCTCGCGGCCGCTAGTATACCTTTAAAAAGAGGCGCCTCTTAACGCATGAAGAGCGTTCGGTGTGATCAGCCCCTTAGTCCTTAAAAACAGCAATACTTTCTTGGCATATTAGACCTACAGCTTTCTGTCCGATATTGATGAAGAAGTATTTTGTCCATTCTTCCTTAAACACACCACATTCAGAGTATTTTTTTCTTTTCTTTTTTGCCTGACTCATTTTCAGTCATTAACGGTCGAGTGCATTTTAATATCCCAGAGTGTGTTCTAGTTCTACTGGTTGCGCTAGCTGTATCACATGCAATACTGCCATCACATGGTGTTCACTTGTATTGCATCATTAATTTACTAATTCTGACTAATTCAAACTGTTACTCAGAAGCAGCATTTCTAAAACTCCCTCTGGGGCCGGATGAAAGTGTTCAGCGGGCTGTATATGGCCCGCGGGCCATAGTTTGCTCACCTCTGCCCTATAGCACATGTGTTTGGACTGTGGGGGAAACCGGAGCACCCGGAGGAAACCCACGTCAACACGGGGAGAACATGCAACCTGACCCAGCCGAGGCTTGAACTAGCGACCTTCTTGCTGTAAGGTTAGAGCCCTACCCACTGTGCTACCGTGCTGCCCCTCAGTTTGGTATTTTAAGTCATTTTAAAGTCATTTAAGCTGAAGGATGAGTTCGAAAGGTTATTTTTTACTTACAAATTGAAGGCAGCAACACAGTTTGTATAGTGTACCATTATTAACCTAAGACAGGAAACGATTAATTCTGTTTCCAAATGCCGATTTAACAGAGAAAGAACATTTTCACAGTATTATATTTGTTATTGTTGATAAAGTCTTATTTCTAAGGTCATTTAAAGTCATTTAAATGTTTATATCAGGTCTGGAACCAACTAAATTGGTCATAGTGTTTGTGTGTGAATGTGAGTGTGGGAGGGCTGGAAGGGCATCCGCTGCGTAAAACATATGTTGAATAAGTTGACGGTTCATTCCACTGTGGCGAAAATAAAACTATATTATAAAAACCAGGAATTATACTAGGGCTGCACGGTGGTGCAGTGGGTAACATGTTTGCCTCACAGCAAGAAGGTCTCTGGTTCTCTGGGTGCTCCTGGGTGCTCCGGTTTCCCCCAAAGTCCAAACACATGCTCTATAGGGGAATTGGATAAGCTAAATTGTCCATAGTGTGTGTGTGTGTACATGAGTGTGTATGGGTGTTTCCCAGTGCTGGGTTGCAGCTGGAAGGGCATCGGCTGCGTAAAACATGTACTGGATAAGTTGGCGGTTCATTCCACTGTGGAAGGGACTCAGGGACTAAGCCGAAAAGAAAACGAATGAATATTAAACTAATCAAATTATATTATCAACTAAACTAAATTATAAACAAGACATCTAATGTAACACCAGCATGTTTAATGATCATGCACAGTGTGAAAACTAATCGTTCAAATGAGTTTCTGATCAATTTTATTACATTTTAATTCTGTTTAATTCACAGTTCTGCATCATGTGTGCTACCTCAGATCACCTTCAGTGGAATATTCACTGATATATGTATTACATATTAATATTCACTGCTGTTTCTGCACAATAATGTCTTCAATCCTCTGCACATGACCAGTTTATAGTATTTATAACATTACCTGCTTCCACAGAGAATCCTGGGTAATTTCTGTAAACACTGTATCATCATTTTTAACATGAAGGCTGAGTGAGATTTTGTTTGTTTACCTGTGTTTACTTGTGTTTACCACTTTCAGACCAAATGAAGAAATCACTGCAGTTTGTTTCAGGGGTTTGTTGAGATATTTCTGCTTTATTATTATGTATAAAATCTCCTTTTGCATTAAAAGTGAAGTGCTTTGAAATGCGCATCTTTTTATTGGATGTTTGACGTAAACTGAAACATGAAGAGAGGGCGGGACACAGAGTAGCTCCTCCCCTTTTTAAAAAACAACTAATAGCGATGTGTTTCAACTAGGGTTGTAACAATATACCGGTATGACGGTCTACCACGATTTGAACGTGCACGATTATCATACCATGAACAATTGCATATCAACGGTTTTAACCCTTAAAGACCGAGACAGCCGCCCGCGGCTAAAAATAAGTATTGCTCTTAAATGTTTAATAACTTTTGATCCGCTGATCTGATTCATACAATTCAAAGATTGGCATAAAGAAGAGAATCTCAGCTTTCCAGTGCTGTATCACATAACATTCGCGGACTTTCAGAGGCTCCGGAATCAGTGTGGTTACGTCATCAACATTTGACAACGCTGATTTGACAAAGAAACGCTCGTCACTGTGTCTCCGGACAAACCAGACATGATACATTGATGCATTGTCCCTCCTCCATGCCCAGATTGGTTCAAACTCGCTATATCACAACCAATAAGCATAGGTTTCGCTTTTGTTTGTGGACCAAGCTTTTTGAACAACACGGAATGAGAGATAGGCATACATTTATGCGCGGCTAAATAAAACGCAAAAAAAAAAAGTTTTGCATGAAATAATTCTCATACTAAGTACTTTTGCATGCACAGCAGCACAGAAACATGACAAAACAGTGACACAGCAAAGACGAACTGCTGCTCTTGCTGTTTTCAAAAGACGCAAATGAAGGTGCAGCTGTTTGTCTGCATTGCAGACAACCATATCCAAATCCATATCCAGACAACCATATCCATGCTGGCACATAAAACCTAAGGATGTTCCATATTGAATCTAGTTTCCTTATGTAACTATTTATAGTATAGTAAATATTTATATCTATTTTTTTACTGAGGATTTGCACCATGTTTATTTGGACTTTATTTGGACTTTGACACATTATTTATTATTTTCTTCTTTTTTTATTTGTTCATTGTAAGTGGTGTTGTTTATAGTAACTGAAAATATATTATTTGGAAAAAGTCAAATTTGCTTCACTGTTCTATTATTTTGTAACATTTGTAACATACCGTATACCGCGAAACCGTCAAACCGTGGTATTGTTTTAGACCATTATCATACCGTGAAAAATTCATACCGTTACAACCCTAGTTTCATCACAGCTCTGCCAGTGAGAGCGGTTGAGCTCAAGCACATCAAATGAAAAGCCAATGAGAAGAAGGGGGCGGGACATGTCAGACACTAGAAAGCATTTGATTGGTCAGAAGATTTGATGAGAAACTGAAGTATGAGATGTAAAAGAAATCCTTGATCCATTCAAGCGAAGGAGACAAACTGCAAGCTTTGAATGTTTATATCAGGTTTATATCTTGTGAATTTTGGATCACACTAGCATATTGATTTCCTAAAGGCTGGCAATACTAACATCTGAAAAACTTTATTTTATTTTCACAGTACCTTTAGCATGATTTGCTGCAGTTAAATATTCATAAAATATGCATTTATTACTACAAGACTCAATCGAGAATCTTGAAAACTCAGAATCAATGTAATAGTGAAGTGTCATTACATTATTTAAGGCACTGTGAGTTAACAACCACTAACAATGAATGAGTGAATAATAAATGCACTGTTATAAAGGTATTTTCCATTCTTTGTTCATGTTGGTAAACACATAAGCAAAGCAACTGCTCAATTCTAGACGAGGTTTTCCTGAAATTATAATGTTTGTATTCTTATTTGACTATGTAAACCCCTCTGTCCCACACACATGTTGCTGAGTATTGTTTAGCTGTTGCTGTCTGTACTTAATGGGCACATATTTTTCCCCTTTTTTATGATTTAATATTAGTATTATGGTTGTTCTGAGTGTGCCAGTTTAGGTTCAGTTCAAAACACAGTTCAGATTTGTTTATTATAATGTGTTTAAAAGTGTGATGTTGTGGGGGGGTGTATACACAGCTCGCTATTTTAGGGGCGTGTTGCTTCACTTGAAAATTAGTTTCAACTTCCCGCCCAATGTAACAAGGGGGCGGAGCCAAGAGCTCCCCCGCTCTGTGTTTGGCAACAGACAGGCAGACAGAGAGAAGCTACATGAGTGAGAGGATCAGCATTCAGCCGTAC